TAGATCCCACCACTTGCCTGCAAATTTCATGATTTCTTCCTTTTTGATTGCTGAGTAGTATTCCATTGTGTAAAAATACCACAGTTTCTGTATCCATTCCTCCGTTGATGGACATCTGGGTTGTTTCCAAGTTCTGGCTATTACAAATAAAGCTGCTATGAACATGGTTGAACAAATGTCCTTGTTGTGTACTTGAGCAAATTTTGGGTATATACCTAGGAGTGGTATAGCTGGGTCTTGAGGTAGCACTACTCCTAGTTGTCTGAGAAAGCGCCAGATTGACTTCCAGAGTGGTTGAACCAGTTTACATTCCCACCAGCAATATGCTTCTTCAAACTCACACTTTGCCCTCCTTTTCCCCTTCTCCACTAGTTATGTAACACAAATAGTTTTAATCAGTATGAGGCATTGACAAAGGAGTCATAGGCATATTTCACCCAAATTAAAAGCATGCCAAATTAGTGTTGAAGGGAGACAAGAAAAGTTAGATCCCATGTCAGTACTTAACAAAATCTCATAAAACAACCAGTTTTTGTTTGATGTTTATACTATAGCAGCATATTTGATGGTATTACCATTTAAACATGCTACTGGGGACAAACCTCTTGCTTGTTACAGAATATTCATGTCATCTCATTGATTCGGGCATTTCTGGCTTTGTGCTTCTAAGTAAAAGCTCATTAGAATAATATACATGTGAGCTTAAAACGGCAACAAAATTTTCACTTGAACATTCTATGTTCTTCTTTCAATCTCCAAAACCTTATTATTATTATTCTTATCAGAGCCTTATTTGAGGCAAGAGATAATTTACTTTTAAGAGGAAAAACACAACACAAAGAAAAATGAACTTTAAAAGAGAGGTCTGTTAGTTGGAAATCATTTATTGCCTCTATAAAAGTTTAAATAAAAACTCTACAAAAATTCACATTACAATCTGATATGGTTTTAAAGAGCTAATATGCTTCAGAGGTAGTGCTAGTAAAATGGGATGCAGGATTGCTAAAAGGGATCACTTAGTAAGTTAATGCAAAATAAAATACCCAGGATACAATTTAATGGAACAATAATAATTATATTAGCATGAAAATATCCCTTTCTTCTCCAGACCCTTGGCAAATCTATTCTTAATAAAGGCTTGTGTATGTCAACTGTAGGTTCACAAGATAGTAGGCTATTTCATTAGAACATTACAAAGCATAGGTTGGTGAAGGGCATAGCACAGTGCTGTCTGCCAAGGTTAACACAACTTCAAAAAGAAATCTAGCCACCATTTAGATATGGTGACACTGGTGACACTTCAAAAAACAAAACCTTTTTTTTAAATTGGGGGTATTTAAATATTCTAAAAGGACACAACATTCCTGGTATTTCATTACTACCACATGGATAAAAGGTAGCAGTTAAAGTTTTCAGGATTTCTTTCAAAGGTAATTATAAACAATCAGACTAAGAAGTGGTTTTGAATACTCCTCCACAAAAGGGAAACAAAGACATTTTTATCATCCATTGTTTGTTCATATTCACCCTTAACTTTTCTCTTACAAACTGCTTAGACTGCCTAATATAAGGGCCCAAAAAGAAGGTGTTTGCCTTTGCAGAAATTAGCTCTTCCACACCTTTTGAGGTCTCGATATTAACATTATACTGAACACAGGATGTGACTGGGCCAGGGCCTTTTCTCTACAATAGGAACAAATCTTTCTATTACTGATTACAGTTGCAATGTAAAAGTTCTGTTGATAGCTGACCTTACAACAAAACATCTCCACGCTCCTTAAACAGGCCAATTTTCCTTTAACATTTCCTTTGCATGTGTTAATTTTCCACAGCAACTCTTTTCCCTGCCAGGACAACTGCAATTCTCATTATCTTGTAACCAATTTTAGCTTGGCTGAATGAGGAAGGTGCCTTCTTTTTGTTGTTATTGTGGTTTCAGGGTTTTGTTTTTAACTCACATTTTAGAGGATAAAGTGTTCTCAGATAAACATTATATGCTAAACATTATATGCTTAAAAATTGCTTCGTATCCTAAATTAAAGTAAACATCTAAATGTAGTTAAGAAAAAAAATTTCCCTATTTACTTCTGCTTCTCTAGTAATACTTTTGATAGTGTAATATGCTTTAATGTTGTCAAAGCCTTAAAGAAAGAAGAATTAGTTAGTTGATTTTCACTATCGGCCACAAATATTTTCATGAAAGCAGTCAGAAGTTGTCATCTCTCTTGTTTAAAAAAAAATCTCAAAACAAATCTACTACATATGTGTGAAAATATGTTTCCATTATAGTAGTATCCTGTTTTTCCTCCTGAAATAATTGGGATTAAACCTGGGGCCTTATGTAAGTGCTAAGTTAGTGTCCCAGTAGTTTTATAATCATTTTTAAATACTTGATGTTGACTTCAAGGTTATTGCTATATTTTCAATCTGCTAAGATGATTGTTTTTGCATTTATATAGTTATTTCCTTTGGGTCTGGCAATAGAACATCCTCATTTAATATTTTTAAATGTTTTAATTTCTATGCTCATAAAAGATATAATTCTGTGGCTGGAAGAAAATGCCAGGATAAAAGTAGTCCAAAGCAGACTGTTAGGACATATAGCTTCTATTTTAATGAAACTTTACATGGAAATAAGGGAACAGTTTATGTGTCCTCCCAAAATTACAGATGTAAGATTTTTTTCAGAATCATGTCTACTAGAAACCTTAAATCAATTACAACTGCTAGTTGTGAAACTTTTATTAATAGACATGAAAAGGTTACAGAAAACATTTCTTTTTGTTTTGAAATTTTCCTCAGGCCAATTTTCTTCAGTCTACCCAGTGTTGGAGTTATCAGTGTGTGCCATAATACCCAGCTGAAGTAATTATTTTCATAGTCTGTAAATTGTTAAGAAATCCACTGTCTGGCACAGCATGTTTCCTATAGAAAGAGCTCCATGATACTTTTATTTAATGACAAATTTCTAAAGTGTGAAAAAAAATTCTGAGTGTTAAAACACTTACTCTGCAGTGAAAACCAACTATGGAGAGTCTTAAACTGAAGCAGTTTAAGTTTACACAGGAACTCAGTGATACTAAACTCTTTACAGGAGAGTCGAGACTAGAAGTTTGCTCATACTAAAAGAAAAGGTCACTAGGTATGGTGGAGCACTTATGTCATCCCAGCATTTGGGAAAGAAAGGCAGGAGCAGCAGGGCTCAAGGTCATCCTCAGATACACTGGAAATTAAAGGCCAACCTGGGCTACAGGAGAATTTGTGTTAGTCCTCCACATCATAAAAAATTTTGTTGTACATATTTGGAATTATTTTTTTCATGGAGAAATTTATATGACTGAAAAACTTAATCTGAATGTTTGAGATTCTGTTGCTCAATCGTCTTTTCCCTGAATGGAATTTGATTTGTTAGTAAGGAATACCAAAGGTTGTTTGCAAAGAACCACATGACTCTTAGCTAAAGGGCATGTAGCTGACTACTGAAATATTTCTGCTGACAACGATGCCATAGAAGTCGTGAGGCAGCAGTATAAAATTAAACAGTTGATAAACTGAATGATCATCAGTGAACTTTACTTGTACGTATCGAGGAGAAGGGACATTTCTAAGTTAAAGGTATTTGTGACTGCCTTTCTACATTCATAAATTGGTATCAGTGAATTCTGAGATCAGAATAACTGCAGTTAAAAAACTTAAAAATATTTGAAACTTGACAACTAAAAAAAAACAGTTTTCTAGCTGCTTCATGCATCTTTCAGGATTATATTATAATGTAATCATGTAATATAGCTCCAAACAACCTACTCACAAATATATGATATTGTGAGCTTATGGAGGAACTAGTATTTTCCCATCTACGAATCTTAGTAATACCATCTGGTATTCCAGAAGGGAAGACCTGCAAAGACATGTCTATAGTGTGCTGCCATCTGGTACCTCAAAATGGTAACAACTGGGTACCATGTCCATTTAAGGTGTGTATTCATAGAATAGCATCCAGGAAATTCAGAGAACTTATAACCAAAGTTGTATAGCTCAAAGTAGTATAACTCTGAGTGATATTATTGTTGGTGGATGGCTCTGTGCAGGCTTCATATGGAAATGAGGTAAATTTGTGGTAAAGTTATATGATTAGAATTTTAGAAAATCTAAACATCAGTGGCATACTTTGATTTCCTGTTTCACAAAATTTAAGATGTGAAAAATATGAAAATGTTGGTAAACTTGAAATACTTGTGCAATATTTTGCTCAACTCAATTATGTAATTTTACTATGTAGCAGAATGTGAGTCAATAATGGTCACTCATAGTATATAAGAACTGAGATTATAATTATCTTTTATAAAGTACTGTTTTTGTATACTTCAATGTTTTGAATTTTTATTGGTGAATGGACTTTCCAAAAGATTTTCTAGTCTCCCCAGTGATAAGCTTAGACAGAAGGATACCAATAACTTACAATTACATCCTAGTAATCATTTCAATTTTCAATCATTATCTGAGATAAAATTCTCATAGGAGCTGAAAAATAAATCCCAGTGATTCATTCAGCTTAAATATATGTTTAGGTTTTTTTTTTTTTAACTTTAGCCTGATTTCCTGAGTAAAAATGTATAAGAAGTATAAGAAAACGAAAGAGGAAGAAAGATGTAATGGCTATAAAAATAAGACTAATCAACCTTGATCAACTTAGTAATTTTGGAATATGCTTATTTTTATGTCTCTGGTTAATATTACTAAGATTCTTTTAAAAGAATAAGCAAAAATCTTTCAGAAATAAGATATAATAGATTTCATAGCTGAGTTGATCAAAATTAATATACTTTTTTCTAGGATTATATATAAGTTAAAAAAAACATTTAAAGTATTTTTACGTGCTTTTTTTTTTTTTTTTTGGAGCCATTATGTCTTGTCATTCCTTCACAACATATGTCTGTTTTTAACAATGAGTTTTCCAGTTGAATACTATTGTGGAAACAAAATACAGTTATCTTGAAATGTATACCTTTTAGGCAACCAACAGACTACATCATATCCCCCATCCCCAATCACAAACTATCTGAGGCATTTTTCTCTGAATAAGAAGACACACTAAATGAAGCATCATCCGGATCTGGTGAGGCATGACTGAAATCCATCTCTTCTAATTCAGGAGGTAAATCTGACAGCAGTGCCTGTGTCAGAAGAAAAAAATCAATTGTGTTGAATTAGTATATAGACAGATGTTTTTCTTACAACTTCTTGGTTAATAGTTGTAGTTCATTTGTTCTAATTTACTATTATGGATTTAAGGAAAAATATTTCACTTAAAAGTGGATATCAGCAATATAACATAGACCAATACCCATAAAATATAGAATAATTACACTAAAATCTCTAAGTATCTGATACAATCCATTTCTTACCTGAAAGAGTATTCCTTCACATAATATTAGGAAAGAACAAAATATAGGCTCCAAGTGTGTGGACTGGATGGGGTAGAATATTAAACAAAGGGAAAATCAAGAGAGAAATGAGCAGTTATTCTGATGAGACCATCAATTTCAGGGTGGCATGATTGTAGACATGAACAACTATTTCAAACCAAGAACTTTTAATCAAGGGCTTTTAAATGGTTGAGGCAAGTGTTTTTCATAATAATTTTACGTGTTCACTGCTCACTGCTAACGGGCTTTAAAAGTGTATTCCTTAATGAAAATATTCATGGTTAGCTACATTACCCTTTAAGGAAATCCACATTTCAACAAAGACCTATTTTGTTATGTTAAATGAATAAATTTATCAGTTAGGGGAGAGATTCTTCTATTTTACTTTAGATAAAAGTTTAACAATTTGAAAGACCACATGGGGTTTCTGTTTGTTTTTTTTCCTTAGACTGTGTCCATACAGGTGGCTAAATGTGCACTAAGACCAGTTCAGTATGGGATTATGGCTCTGGGAATGGTAGATCTGCTCATTTCTTTGCTGGAACAATTAGGAAATGAGAACATCTATAAGCTAAGCTTGACAATATTCTAATTATTTCATCTGTATTTGTAGAACAGGAATCTATACTAGAGAAATAAATAATCAAGTTTTACGTGGATGACAGTGCTGGTGCTCACTTAGCCATAATAAATTGGACCTAAAATAACATAGTCTATGGGAAAAATTTCAACAGAATTGTTTGTGCTATTGGTTTTGGGAGATTAGTAAACAAGAAAGATGGGGTATCCTAGGGGATCATATGAAATATACTGTCAAAATAAAACAGTGACAGTTACACATCTTATAATTTTTGCCTTGTAGTACACAACAACAAAAAAAATTCTACTTTTTTTCAGACTAGGTAAAGAAAAACTAATATGTGGAGAAAGTTATTATTTATTTTGTATCACTAAATTACCCATGGATGTCTTGTTGGAACTAAGTGAACTTGCACGTGAAAGTAAATACCACACGCTTTCTGAGGTACTAGGTTGCAGTAACATAAGGCACACCATTTTCTTATAGAACACTGAGCTACTGCTGACCCAGCGCAGCTACAGTGGCTGTTCAGAATGTGAGTAACACATCACTGGGTTCATTTCACTTTGCTGTTTTACATATATCATGTTAAGGATAGAAAGGGGTTCAAATTGTCACTCATTGAATATGAGCTCTGCATATTGGAAAGCCAAGTGGATTAGAAAATTTCATGACATTTTAAATTCTAGTGGAGTGACCTGCAGACTAGAAAAGCATTATCATTTCCTTTTCATTGAGTTATATGTAGTTGACTGACTACAATGAGAATAGAATTTAAAATGTTCAGTATATGAGGTAGTTCACAACATTACTGATGCATGGATTTCACCTCAAAATTCTTTCAATAGCTTACTGGACTGCAATATTGGGACATTAAAGAACTCTTTGGCAATGACTGGAGATGCCCTTTTAACAAAGATATAAGTAGGCACAATTAAATTTCTTCTGTTCTCCTATCCAGCGTTGTAGATTGAACCCAGGGTCTCATTTACTCTGAGAAAAACACTCTGACAATGACTCACATCTACAGCCTCAATATTTTTTTGTTATATAGTTTTCATTAGTAACAACTATTTTCAAGGTCTGACCAAGTGTCATTTTCCCCAAGAGATCATTAACACTTTCCCCAAATACATGCTCAGTGTCTGAAATACTTATTCTAGGCTCTAAGATGTGAATGTGAAATTGGTAATCATTCTTATCCTCCTTGCAGAGTAGAGAAATTGAAGTTTAAGAAAGGCAATCGATCTGGCTAGGATCACACAGTGAATTATCAGAGGAAGAAAGACCATAAGTAATGACTTAGAGCAATGTTGGCAACATTATCTGGGTGTTAAAATGGCTATTATTGATTTAAAAAAGACAACCTTTAGCAATCTAATGTTTTAGTTGGAAAGAACCATATATATTTTTAAAGCCCTGAACTTCTTTATAGTAGCAAAATTTTCCATAAATCACTTATCTCATTCAAGTTATCCAAATAAGGATTAATGCAAGAAACACTATATATATATATATGAAATAAGTAATGGAAAATAGTTTTATTTTACTAGATAGAATAAAATGTATTTCTAGAAATAAAATTCTGAATATTTCAAGTTTGAAACATCATTAGTTCAAGATACAATGTGAATTATTTTGTTTATGACTGCTATCATTCTATATATGTAATTATATTTATAATTAATTCATTTTCTGTTTTAGATGCTATACACATGACTCCTTCCTCACGTTTCCACATGATTACAGGTGTGTGTCACCACCTGTAATACCCAGGGTCTTTTATGCTGGGAGAATATATTTTGAAATGCACTATACCCGATCTCAACAACAACAACAACAAAATCATAGTTTTTATTCAGGCTGCTGAAACTATAGGCTGTGGCATTTAGTATAATTTTTGTATCATTTTCTATTTCAGCCCACATTTTGTTTATATCTTACTTCAGTAGTCTTTTATCCAAGAAAACTAGAAAAGGAAAAGCAAAAGGTATGTTAGCTACTTTTCTTAGTAATCTTTGGGGAGGAACCAAAGCAAAGCTGAAGTTAAAAGTAGAAATTAAGTCTATGAGCCATTCTCAGAGTTCAAGAGATAAGAACAATTACTAGTTAAGTGGTTCTGAAACAGAATTCAAGGTTGATGTAAGATTTTTTTCAGACAAGAAATACATTATTAGTCTAAAGTTGAAGCCTGTGTGTGTGTGGAGTGTGTGTTTGTGTGCGTGTGTGTGTGAGGATGGGCACTGGGTTTTCTATAGTTATTTAAAATCTATGATACTGAATGAGGATTGAGCATCTGCCTTAGGGTCCTCCTTCTTGTTTAGCTTCTTTAGGATTACAGCTTTTAGTAAGTTTATCCTATATTATATGTCAAATATCCACTTATAAGTAAGTATATACCATGTGTGTCTTTCTTCTTCTGAGTTACCTCACTCAGGATGATCTTTTCTAGTTCCAAAAATCCTCATTCAGATAGGGCAAACAGGATAGACTTCGGCATAGGAGACAACAGGGAACAGGACAGGAAACTACCACAGAGGGCCTCTGAAAGACTCTACTCATAAGTGTATTGAAGCAGATGCCGAGACTCACAGCGAAACTTTTGGCAGAGTGCAGAGAATCTTTTGAAAGAAGGGGAGATAGAAAGACCAGGAGGGGACAGGAATGCTACAAAAAGACCAACAGAGCCAAAAAAAAATCTAGGCCCAAGGGGCCCTGCAGAGACCGTTACCCTAAGGACCATGCATGGAGAGACCTACAAACGCTGCTAACATATAGCCCATAGACTCAGTCTCCTATGTGGATTCCCTAGTAAGGGAATCAGGGTCTGTCTCTGGCATGAGCTCAGTAGCAGGCTCTCTGATCACTGCCCCCTGGAATGTGCAGCTTTGCCAGGCCACAGAGGAAGACAATGCAGCCAGTCCCGATGAGACCTGATAGGCTAGGGTCAGATGGAAGGTGAGGAGGACCTCCCCTATTCGTGGACTAGGGGTGGCTAATAGGGGGAGAAGAGGGAGGGTGGAACTAGGAGGAGATGAGGGAGGGGACTCCAGCCAGTATACAAAGTGAATAAATTGTAACAAATAATAAATAGATAGATAGATAGATAGATAGATAGATAGATAGATAGATAGAAAGAAAATCTATGATACTACTACTGTGATGTATTCAATGCTATCATTCTTATTCATTATTCATTTAAAATCTGTATTTTAGGTTCTTAAAAACAAACATTTCAATTTTGCTGAGCTTTGCTTTTTTTGTTTGTTTTAAGGTAAGTTCTTAGTTTATGACTGAGACTGAACTCTAGAACTCACAGCAGTTCTACTATGTGAGCTTCCCTAGTGTTGGAGTGATGGTATAAGCCACCATGACTGTCTTATAAACAAAATTTCAATATGCCATGAAGTGTATATATTATGTAAAATAAAGCAATACACTTAAATAACGCTAGTCCAGCCAACTAAATGCATCTGTATTATGATCTCTAGATACGATCAGATTTGAAAGAGTAAAATCCATTAATCTGGACAAATAATATCCATTCTGGCTTTAGTCCTACGTGAGGACTCTTCCAGTTCAATTTTTGGGGTCAGTATATCAATTAAATATACAAAGACCCATTTCTTTGAAAGAAAGGAGAATTATGGAATATTTAGACATTTCCTCTTTTCCTTGGAGATATCTGGGATAGGCTATATTTTCATAATCTTCTTTGGGTATAATACCTTTGTGCTTTTACTCTTAACATTTTTTTTCTGAATAAACCTTCTAAGACTTTTTAGTAAAATATAGTTACCTGTATCTCATACTACTCACACATAACTTTTCTGAAAAGGAACTGCATGGTGATAATAACTCATCAGCAAATATCATATCATCTAGTGTTGTATAATTAGACTTAAATAAATTTATATTATTATATTATATTAATTATTATATTATATAATTATATTATATTAATTATTGGCACAAGAAAGACCTGAGAGTCAAAAGCAATTTGGAAGGGATTTATAAATAAATATCCACAACAAAAAAACAAAAGGCATTTCATTTTTGATGGGAGGATTTAACATTTTTATTTACATTGCTAAATGCAATGCACTATGGTCACAAAGAATTTCCTGAAGTATTTTCACACTTTCTTAGTGAGGAACAACATAGTATAGAACAGACTATGTCCAAACATTTGTGAGTTCTAGCAGCTGTCAGTGGATAAATAAATACCCACTTCTTTCATTGAGAAAAAGTTCTTAATACTCTCTCTAGTTAGTGGTTAATATAGATCCATCTCTATAAAAAATTGAGCAATCTCTTGAAAATTAATTTAAAAATTTTTTTTTCTCTACTTAAAGGCTATCCTGAAACTGAGAAAAATTCTATTCAGCTATTTTGACTTTGCACTCTAGTAGCACACACACTAAAAATCTGAACACCTATTCTTTAAAAAAGATATGATTAAAAAATAATAAAGTAACCATATGCTCCATGAAATTCCAAATCAGAATAGAGACTGCAAATAAAGAGATATGAAGAATCTAAATATGACATGTCATTTTTCAACTTGACACATTGTGCCTTACTGGTCTCTCATGGAACTTACCTGCTGTTGTTCCTTATCATCAGCTTTCATAGCCGTAATCAAGTTTCTAACAAAACTCTGGAGCTTAAAGTACTTTTGCTTTTGAAGCTCTAGCTCATTTTCAATGAATCTGACTTCTTCGTTCTAAAGGAAAAAACATCAAACAATAAAATAACTCCATGTAAACTCAAGCCTGTATAGATCTGATAAACAATAAAGCTAAAAAGAAAACAGAGTATAAGGAACAGTAAAGAAAATAAAATTTAATCATAAAGGAATATAAAAGACAGAAAGACTTTATCCTGGTATTCATAGGCTGCCTTTTGAACAAATCATCAACACAAAACAATTAGCAAGTAAAACCTAGAGAAAGACGAAAACAAGAAAGACTTATCTATTTGGAAACAACTTTCCTATATTAAATTTAACTAGCATTTGGATTAGGGTTAAGAATAGAGTCCAATTAACTCCTAGAAAAATAGAAAAGCAACAATATTAAATGTACTATTCACAAAGTAAAATTTCTAAAAACTAAAACAGTTATTTTCTACCAAGTAGGGACTGAAATTACTAAACTTTTAGTATACATTTAACTAAATATAAAATCAAAACTAATAAAATGTTTACAACACAATAAGAGTTTAAGTCCAGCCTTGACAGTATAATGAGCTTGAGACTACATGGTGACTTTAATCTTACATAAAACAACAAAATCAAAAACAAACAAACAAACAAAAAACGATTGAAGGAAAAATCAGAAACATACTCTAAATAAAAATGAAATATTAACTACATGCTGGAAGAAAATATTCAGGTTCACATAAAAGGAAAAAAAAGATTGTAATATATATATAATATATTACATTTTAAAAGTAGCAAGAATATTCAAACAAACATTTCATAAACATGTATATATTCAAAAGATATTTACCATTTTCAGTAAAAGAATGCCAATAAAAACCACAGTGAGATACTACTATCAGCTTGCTACAATGACTAATGTTGAAGACATTGACAAGACTCAGTTCCTGGTAAGAATATGGAACAAACATGGTTGAGCAAATGTCCTTGTTGTATACTTGAGCACGTTTTTGCTATATGCCTAGGAGTGGTATAGCTGGATCTTGAGGTAGCACTATTCCTAATTGTCTGAGAAAGTGCCACATTGATTTCCAAAGTGGTTGTACAAGTTTACATTCCCACCAGCAATGGAGGAGGGTACCCCTTTCTCCATAACCTCTCAAGCATGTATTGTTACTTGAGTTTTTGATCTCAGCCATTCTGATGGTGGTAAGGTGAAATCTCAGGGACATTTTGATTTGCATTTCCCTGAGGAGTAAAGATGTAGAACATTTCTTTAAGTGTTTTTCTGCCATTTGCTTTTACCTATTGAGAATTCTCTGTTTAGCTCTGTACCCCATTTTTTTTTAAAGTTAGATTTCTAGATTTGTTGCTGTTTAACTTCTTGAGTTCGTTATATATTCTGGATATTAACCCTCTGTCAGATATAGGGTTGGTGAAGATCCTTTCCCAATCTGTAAGCTGTCGTTTTGTTCTCATGACAGTGTCCTTCGCTTTATAGAAGCTTTTCTCTCTCATGAGGTCCCATTTATTGATTGTTGATATTAGAGCCTGAGATGTTGCTGTTCTGTTCAGGAAGTTGTCTCCTGTGCCAATGGTAGTAGCAGCTTTATTCTTAATAGCCAGAATCTGGAAACAACCCAGATGTGCCTCAGTTGAGAAAGGATACAAACATTGTGGTACATTTACAAAATGGAATACTACTCAGCAATTAAAAATAGGAAAAACATGAATTTTGCAGGCAAATGGTGGGATCTAGAAAAGATCATCCTGAGTGAGGTATCCCAGAAGCAGAACGACACACATGGTATATACTCACTTATAAGTGGATATTAGACATATAATAGAGGATTATCATATTAAACTCTGTACACCTAAAGAAGCTAAGCAAGAAGGAGGACCCTGGGTAAGATGCTCAATCTTGATTCAGAAGGCAAATGGGATAGACATCAGAAGAAGGTGAAAATAAGTAACAGGACAGGAGCCTACCACAGAGGACCTCTGAAAGACTCTACTGAGCATGGTAATTTTTTTAATTAAATTTTTATTTTTATATTAATTACAGTTTATTTACTTTGTATTCCAGCTGTAGCCCCCTCCCTCCCAATCCTACCCTCCTTCACTCATGTCCTTCCTGTCCCATTCTAAGTCCACTGATTCGGGAGGTCCTCTTCCCCTTCCATTTGACCCTAGCTTATCAGGTCTCATCAGGACTAGCTGCAATGTCCTCCTCTGTGGCCTAGCAAGGCTGCTCCTCCCTTGGGGTGGGGGTGGGGGAGGCCAAAGAGCCAGCCACTGAGTTCATCTCAGAGACAGTCCCTGTTCCCCTTACTAGGCAAACTACTTGGATACTAATCTGCCAAGTATCTGTATTAGTATTAGTATCTGTCCGAGCAGAGGTTCTAAATTGTACCCATGCATGGTCCTTGGTTGGAGAATCCATCTCAGAAAAGAGTGCACCTGATTTCATCTGAGCAGGGTATTAAAGCTGATGCTGAGACTCATAGCCAAATATTGGGCAGAGTGCAGGGAATCTTATGAAAGAAAGGGGAAATAGAAAGGCTTGGAAGGGTCTGGAGCTCCACAAGGTGCACAACAAAAATTCTGGGCCTAGGGGTCTTTTCTGAGACTGATACCCTAACCAAAGACCATTCATGGAGATTATCTGGACCCCCTGCATAGAAGTAGCTCATGGCAGCTCATTCTCCAAATGAGTTTCCTAATAAGGGGAGCAGCCTGAGCAGGCCACAGAAGAAGACTATGAAAGACAGTCATAATGAGACCTGATAGGCTAAGGTCAGATGGAAGGGGAAGAGGTTCTCTACTATTAGGGGACTGGAGAAGGGGCATGGGAGGAGATGAGGGAGGGAAGGAGGGTACAATAGGGAGGGGACGAGGGTGGGGCTACAGCAGGGATAAAGAGTGAATAAATTGTAAAAAATAAAAAAAATATATTTAAAAAAGATTATGGAACAATTAAAAGTGTCAGGCATGCTAGGTCACAGAGGAGGACACTGCAGCCAGTCCTGAAGATACCTGATAAACCAGGGTCAGATGAAAGGGGAGGAGGTCCTCTCCTATCAATGGACTTGGAGAGGGGCAGGGAGGAGATGAGGGAGGAAGGGTGGGATTGGGAGGGAATGAGGGAGCGGGATACAGCTGCAATACAAAGTTAATAAACTGTAACTAATGTTAAAAAATAAAAAAAGAAATAAAAAGTGTCATACATTGTTAGTGGGAGTATCAATAAGGTGAGTTTGTAAAAAGTTTATCATACATTCAGCATGTCCTTTTTTAGTAATTTAACATTTAGTTATTTACTAAGAACAATGAAAACACATGAATTTTTGAAGCTTTATTCATAATATCCTGCAAATGCAACTGATTCAGACTTTCATTACATGTTGTTGTGGTTTGAATGTGAAATTCCCAACATAGGCTCTTGTCTGAATACGTGGTTCCTATGTGACGGTGCTATTTTGAAAGGTTGCAAAACTTTTATGATCTAGAGCCTTGCTAGAATATGTGAGTCACTGGAGGCTGGACTGATGCCACTTCTCTTCTATCTGCTTGTGAATAGTAGATGAAATGTCAGGAGAAAACAAGTAACAGGACAGGAGCCTATCGCAGAGGGCCTCTGAAAGACTGTACCTAGCAGTGTATCAAAGCAGATGTTGCGACTCATAACCAAACATTCGGCAGAGTGCAGGGAATCATAAGAAAGAAGGGGAGTTAGTATGATGGGGAAAGGATAGGAGCTCCACAAGGACCAAATATATCTGGGCACAGGGTCTTTTCTGAGACTGACATTCAACCAAGGACCATGTATGGATATAACCTAGAACCTCTGCTCGGATGTAGCCCGTGGTAACTCAGTAACCAATTGGTTTCCCATAGTGAGGGGAACAAGGACTATTTCTAACAGGAACTCAATGACTGGCTCTTTGACCTCCCCACTCCCCAAGGGAGGAGCAGTCCTGTTAGGCCACAGAGGAGGACTTTGCAGCCAGTCTTGAAGATACCTGATAAAACAGGGTCAGATGAAAGGGGAGGAGGTCCTCCCCAATCAGTGGACTTGGAAAGGGGTAGGAAGGAGATGAGGGAGGGAGGGAGGGTTTGGGAGGGAATGAGGGATTGGGATACAGCTGGGATACAGAGTTAATAAAATGTAACTAATAATAAAAATAAAAAAACAGTAAAAAAAAAAAGAAATTCTAAACAACAACAACAAGAACAAAAGAAATGTCACCAAGCCTTGAATCAGTTCTGTCCCCATGCCTTCCCTGCCACAATAAGTTGTGCTTCTTTGAACTGCAAAACCTTCCTTTAAATTGCTTCTTGTCAGGTATTTGATAACAGCAATGAGAAAAGTAACTAATATACAAATGAATAAACAATTTGTCAAATTCATCTAATTAAAAAGGTGAATTTCACTGTATGGACTTTTTTTTTTTTTTTACTGTTTGGAAGCTGTGTAATATAGTACACTGATTAAATAAAATCACACAAAATATCTCAAGTAATAATAACAACATTAATAAAACTTAAGATGAACATTGTGGTATATTCCTATTAACACCAGCACATGGGAATTTGAAGACCCTGGCTCAAATCCCAACCAAACAAAAGAAACTTCATTCCTTTTATCTAATAGAAGCTTTGCACCAATCGACCATAAGTCATCTCCCAATCCTCTCACTACAGCCTCGGATGGCCACCATTCTATCATCTGTTCCTTTGAGTTCAATTATTTGAGATATCAAATATAAGTGAGAAAATGCCGTTCTGTACCTGGCTTATTTCACTTAGTATAGTTCTCAAATTCTATTCATGCTTTCATAAATGGAAAATACTGTCTTTGTTTAATAGTACCTGAGGAGAAGATTGTAAATAATAAGCACTCCATAATTATCAAAAAGGCAAAATTTAAAGTTTTTAACATAGAGAATAAGTACATGAAGTGATAGATATGTTAATTCACTTGATTTAATTATTTTACATTGTATTCATAAATCATTCTATAAGGTTGTACTTCATGAATATATAAAGCTATAATTTGTCAA